TGAATCCTCCGTTGGATATGACCATAACGGAGGGAAAGTTCTCCCAGGTGCTGCGAGCGAAGAGGGGCGTGTCGACCTTGTCGGGGATGTAGAAGTCCTCAGGGCGAGAGATGTAAATAGTGACCTGTAGACCAGTGTTGTCAGGGGGAGGCGTCTCCTCCTCGACCTTATTTGCCTCGCAGACATCCTGTCGAGGAACATCACTCCTCCTGATGTACTGCTTTAGATGTCCCTCCTTGATGAGGATTTCAATTGTATCCCTGAGGTGGATGCAATCCTCTGTGGCGTGCCTGTGGAACTGACAATACTTGGACTTATCGACATTCAGTTTAGGGGTGTTGGCTTGGGAAAACGGACCCCACCTTGCTGGAATTTCGAGTTTGCACACTCGGCCAAAATGCACTCGCGGGGAGCGGTTAGCAAAATGTACTCGGAGAAGCAGCCTGATGGTCCATGGTGCTCGCGGGAGTCACGGGGTTTATCTTCTCTTCGTTTCTCCACGTCACGTCGGGGAACCACAAAGCCATCATGCACCGCGATTTTGGAGCCTTCTTGGTCCCGTGAGCTATGGGCCTTATTAGCAACCTCTCTCTCCTCGTACTGGATGTACGCTTGAGCTTTGAGGATAAGGGCGTCCAACGAGTGAGGCGTCTCAATGCCCACTGCTTTGGCGAAGTCGTTGTGGGGAATGCAACCCTTGATCGAGCAAATATCTTTTCATTCGGTCGGTCATGAGGACCTGAACGACCTCTCGGTTGTATCTCTCTGTATACTCGCGAAGATATTTGTCTTTCCCTTGAATAATGGCCTCGAGCGGCGCCTCGAATTTCAGATGTCGATGGGAGGTGGTGAAGTGCCTGGCGAATTGTGTCTTCAGGTCCTTCAAGGAGGTGATGGATTCAGGCTCGAGGCTTTTATACCACGCCATGGCTCCCGTCCTTAGAGTCATGTGGAAGAGCCGTCACTTGATGGGCGGTACAAAAATTGGCTAGAAAATCGTTGGACTCTCGAAACATTGGGCGACGTTATAGGTTGCATCGATGGGGGAGGGAAACATTGGGCGACGTTGCCCGTCCATAGGGTTACCTTCTTCAACAGCGGGCACCGCGTTATTGTCGTGGTCGTCGTCGTCAGCGAAGGTAACTTTCTGGACGTTGTCGCAACGTGTTGGCTGGCCATGACGATGGGTAGGTAATTGGAGAGTTGCTTTGGTATTTACGTTTTAATGGAAGAAAAGACGGGGGAGTAAAGTTCCCACAGATGAAGCCACTGATCTTACCGCGATCATAAAGTTGATCAGCAGGAAGCAACACGTCGTGAGTCCCAAGTTCACCAGTGGTGGAGAATAGAAGGGGTTGTACCTGCAAGATACTCTGATGCCAAGGTAAGAAATGAAGCAAAGAGATAACAAGTACAAAAAAATAGATATAACTTAGAATACCTGACCCTCATCTAGAGGGGAGTATCTATAATGCACCCAGCGCTGGGTTAACAATCATCTGCTTTGGGCTGGATTATAAGGCCTATAACAGATGATTGTCAGGATCCTGCATGGCAGTTGGGAAGACACGCATCTGGTCTTAGTCCTGGATCAACTGTCCCACGAACTCCCGAGAGTGGGGGACCTGTTCTCTCGAATATGGGTAATTAACTGATGATGTGTTTCTGCGTGAGGAGCACGTGAAGAATGTGGGGAGGACCAACCCCAAACTCAATTGAGAACACCAATATAAAAAAAATGACAAGGGAAAAATTCAATTATTTTGGTAAACCCAACTTTTATTAAAACACAGACCTAGACCTATGTATTATTAGTTCATCAACTCTACACATTTTGAGAACTCTAAAACTCAAGATAAATTGCACATTGAATATGCTTTTAATTATGAGAAAAAAAAAATGATGTATCGACTAATTTTACATTATAATCATATATTTTGTTAAGTCAAATTAAAATTTTTAAATTACATGAAAATATAATATATAAATGTATCACCATTAAAGATAAAAGATTGTCGTAGTTTAATTATACCAGACAATGAAATGGAAAAGAGCAGCTTGAAGTTTTTACATGGGGACCCAAAACAAATTTCAAGAGGAGTTTGGGAGTTAGGGAAAGAGTACAGCATAATTCACAAAGGCGAGGAAACAAAAATCTTACAAGAATCAACATCTGGAATTAACATCAAAAAAGGAAAAGGAGTGATGGGAGAGGGGGAGATCGCGTCTAGTAGGGGTGATCGAACATAGGTGCTTACTTCCATTCCATAATGAAATTAATAAGTTATAAAATCAGGGGGTCTAGGGGGATTAGTAGAAAAAAAGGAAGTCAACAAATTAATTCTAAAGCATAAGCTAGATTTGATCGGTCTTCAAGAAACAAAAATGGAAATTGTCGATAGGAAACAAGTTGTATCGATGTGGGGATTTTCAGATTATGATTACGCCTTTAAGGCATCTGAAGGAAGGTTGGGGGGATTATTGGCGAGAAAAATTGGTCAAATATCAACACCATAAAGATTAATCTTAAGCTATTTGAAATCATGTCAGGCCTTAAGGTAAACTTCCACAAGAGCTTATTAGTCGGGATAAACATTCTGTATCACTGGCTTGAAGAAGCAGCAAAAGTGCTCAATTGTAAACTAGGATCCTCGACATTCACTTATCTTAGTCTGCCGATCGGTGCTAATCTCAGAAGAAAATATATGTGGCAACCAGTCATTGATACTGTAAAATCAAGATTGTCAAGATGGAAGAATAGAAAACTATCGATAGGAGGTCGCATGGTCATAATTAAATCGGTCTTATCGACATTACCGGTCTATTTTCTCTCCTTCTTTAAGGCGCCACTAGGTGTCATATCTAAACTTGAATCTTTGTTCAAGGAATTCTTATGGGACGAAAGTGAGGAAGAGCGAAAGACTAATTGGGTTAAATGGGACCAGGTTTGCAGACCTATAAACGAGGGGGATTAGGATTAAAAAACTCAAGGGTTTTTAATCTTGCTCTGCTAGGTAAATGGAATTGGAAAACAAAAATTGGAAGAAGTGGATTATAGTACAAATCTCTTGTAGACAGGTACAGACTGAGAGGCGAAGACATCAGGAAAGGTAGGAAAGGATCATCTGTATGTTGGCAAGATATCTGCCAAATAGACGTGGCGAAATTCATTTCATCATCTGGCTACTCAGTGAGAGAGATGTATATAAACCTATCATCGGACAACCAACTCGCGTCTAACCATTCTTGGTTAAAGATATGGGATAAGGCGATACCGTCCAAAGTCTCATGTATGATTTGGAGAACACTCCAAAATAGAATCCCCACAAAAGTCAACCTGGTTAGCAGAGGCATTTTACCCCATGATCAGATTGGCTGCATTGGTGGTGCGGGTCAAAGGAGTCGGTTTTCCATGTCTTTTTTGAATGTCTTATTTTTGCAGGTACCTGAGCTCTATTTGCAGGTGGTTAAGAGTGCATTCAGCCTTTTCCAATGAAGGATGAGAACACTGGGGCCATTTATCCAACTTGCTGGAAGGTAGCAGTTCTATGATTCGAAAAATGTCGGTTATTTGGTCTGCTTGTCTGTGGAATATTTGGAGGTTCAGGAATGATAATGCATTTTGTCATAAAGAAATCATCGTTGAAAAAATCACCGAAGAGGTAAAAATTTCAGCATGGAAATGGCTAAGATTGAAATCTAATTTGATATCGGATGATTTGGCTGCCTGGTGTTTAAATCCTGTTTCTTGCTTAGAATCCATCACTTAGCTATCTGTACAATATCGCTGCTAAAGGCCTAGACTATTTTTCTGCCTCCATATCATATTCTCTATTCTTTGTTGCACTAGAGGAAGTTTGGAGATGTTAGAAGACATCATAATTATGTCTGTTTCTATCGCCTCTATCTGAAGATTGAATATTTTCTGTTGGTTGTATTCATTGCTAGTGCATATTGGGCTATTTGCGGGGTGGAGTTAGACTATTGTTGTCAACTAGCGGGCAATGAGCTGTTGTTTTGCAGGATAGTATGGGAGTGACTATGTCAATTACCTGTCAGCGTTATTGCAGGTCATCTAGATGGATCTCTCTGTCGTACAGTAGATCCGCAGCGGTATCACAGGTGGTATTGATCTGGTGTTGATCCAGGTGTGGTTTGATATCGACTGTGACCTTCTTTGAGAGTTGCTATTGGATTAGCGGGAACCTTGCTCGGTCTCCACATTGTGATTTTTCATTGGTTTTGTAGTTACCCTTCTATCGCTTTGACTCGGATTTAGTTGGCGGCGCTGTGCATCATTGCTAGCGAGTTGGTTTTGTTTTTACAGTGGGTGTTCCCTTCATGTGTTGCAGCCTTTTCATTTTGCTATAATAGATATATCTTGATTTTGGTGTAATTGTTTTGCATTATGGGACCTTTGTGGTGTCTGAACTGTTTCGAGTTATTGTGGCATTTTTTTTCTTCTTGTTCTGACTGTAATCCTAGCATATCTTATGCTAGTGTACTCTCCACTTTACTTAATATAATCTTTTGCCTTCTAAAAAAAATTTCATCATGAGAGAGAAAAAACAAGTGTTTAATAGTAATAAGCGGATGCAAATAGAAATCGCATTTTCAATCCAACACAATCAGTGTAACTGGGCTCTACCACCGGGTCGAATTTTCCAACCCACGAAGTACTTGATTTCTTCTTTCATAAACCCCGAAACCACAAAACCCAAAAAAAAACAGAGCAGCCGCTGCGCTGCCTCTTCACCCTCGATCGGAGTTCGTCATCGTATCAAGTACCGCCGCCGTAAACAGCGAGAAAACTCAGGTATTCCTTTTTCCAGTTTCGTATTTTCCCACCCTCTAACGACGCGGCCATTATATTTGTATCGTATCTCGCACTAGAATGCTATCGTATGCTTCTTATTCAGTGTTCATTGCTCTGTTTGTTTCAATTTTAACCTAGATTTATTTTTCTTTGATTTGCTAGGCTAGGTTGATACAAAGCAAAAATGGTGCAGTATAACTTTAAGAAAATCACTGTTGTACCAAATGGAAAAGATTTCATCGACATCATTCTCTCACGGACCCAACGTCAAACACCTACTGTTGTCCACAAAGGGTATGCAATTACTCGTCTCCGTCAATTTTATATGCGAAAAGTGAAATACACTCAGCAAAATTTTCACGAGAAGCTTTCTACTATCATAGACGAGTTTCCTCGGTTAGGAGATATTCATCCTTTTTATGGTGATCTGCTTCATGTGCTGTATAACAAGGATCATTACAAGCTTGCTCTTGGTCAGATCAATACTGCTAGGAATCTTATTGGTAAGATTGCTAAGGATTATGTTAAGTTGTTGAAGTATGGTGATTCATTGTATCGGTGTAAGTGTTTGAAGGTGGCTGCTCTTGGTCGTATGTGTACTGTGCTTAAGAGGATTGGGCCGAGTTTGGCTTATTTGGAACAGGTTAGGCAGCATATGGCTAGGCTTCCTTCTATTGATCCGAATACAAGGACGATTTTGATCTGTGGGTATCCCAATGTGGGGAAGAGTTCTTTTATTAATAAGATTACTAGAGCTGATGTTGATGTGCAGCCGTATGCTTTTACCACTAAGTCTCTGTTTGTGGGTCATACGGATTATAAGTATCTGAGGTACCAGGTGATTGATACACCGGGGATTTTGGATAGGCCGTTTGAGGATCGGAATATCATTGAGATGTGCAGTATTACTGCTCTTGCGCATTTGAGAGCGGCAATATTGTTCTTTTTGGATATTTCTGGGTCTTGTGGTTACACTATTGCTCAACAGGCGGCTTTGTTTCAGAGTATTAAGTCGTTGTTCTTGAACAAGCCTCTGATTGTTGTATGCAACAAGACTGATTTGCAGCCGTTGGATGGGTTATCTGAGGAGGATTTGAAGTTGGTGAATGAGATGAAAGCCGAAGCGTTGAAGACTGCTATTGGTCAAGGAGGCGAAGGGACAGAGGCTGATGTGTTGTTGACCATGAGTGCATTGACAGAAGAGGGTGTGATTGCGGTGAAAAATGCAGCTTGCGAGAGATTGTTGAATCAGAGAGTGGAGATAAAGATGAAGTCTAAGAAGATCAATGACTGTCTGAACAGGTTTCATGTTGCAGTTCCGAAGCTGCGTGATCAGAAGGAAAGGCCACCTTGTATTCCTCCCGCTGTCTTGGAAGCTAAGGCTAAGCTAGCAGCTTCTGAAGAGAAGAGGAAAACTGAGAAGGATCTAGAGGAAGAAAATGGAGGGGCGGGTGTATACTCCATGAACTTAAGAAAACATTATATTTTGGCTGATGATGAATGGAAAGAAGATAATCTGCCAGAAATTTTGGATGGTCACAATGTGTATGATTTCATTGATCCTGATATTCTACACAGGGTGGAAGAGTTGGAAAGAGAAGAAGGGTTAAGGCAGGCAGAAGCTGAAGATGATGATTTTGAGTATGATGGAACTGAATTGACACCGGAACAACAGGAGGCTTTAACCGAGATTAGGAGGAAGAAAAACTTGCTGATCCAACAACATCGGATTAAAAAGAGCACTGCTGAGAGCCGACCAATTGTCGCAAGGAAATTTGACAAGGACAACCAGTTCACAACGGAAAGAATGGGAAGGCAACTGTCATCTCTCGGGCTTGATCCTTCTCTGGCTGTTAACAGAATGCGCAGCAGATCTGTCTCCAGGAAAGGCCGCAAAAGGGAGAGATCATCCGATGGCAGAAATGATGAAATGGATATTGACGGTGACACACCTAGCAAGAAGCAGCGTCTAAGTAGATCACTGTCACGTTCCAGGTCGGTGTCCCGTCCGCCTCATGAAGTTGTGCCTGGAGAAGGTCTCAGGGATTCTACTCAAAAGATTAAGGCAATTAAAATTGCTAGGAAATCTGTCAAGAAGAGAAACAAGAATGCTAAGCGCGGAGAAGCTGATAGAGTCATACCTACTCTTAAGCCGAAGCACTTGTATTCTGGAAAGAGCTCCAGTGGAACGAGGCACAGTCGCTAAAACAGGTAGTAGTATTTTTCTATTCAACTTGGATTACTTAATGTTGCAAAACAGCAACTTCAAAAATTTCATTACTGATCTTGTTTTCTCAGAACTTGAAACTGCCCACATTTTTGTTTACCTTCTGTAGTACTTAGCTGATCATTACATTTCCTATCTTAACCATGGATATTATAGAGTAATTGTAGGCTTGTGGCAAAGTATTGTTAGCCCAGATTTTAAAAAAATAAATATTTGCATTTAAATGTCTTTTCCCAAATCAGTGTTGGAAATTTTGTCAATTTCGTAAACTTGAAATTACTTTCATTTTTGTTTGTGTTCTGTAGTACTTACCTGATTATTACATTTCTCATCTCAGCCATGGATATTTTAGGTTATCAGTGGTTTACAATTGATTCTGTAATATAAGTTTAAAGACTAACACTGATATAATCTATTTAAATGCTGCTTTCCCAATCCCCTGAATGAATAACTTGTTCTCTTTTCTTGTCATGTTTTCATGTTCAAAGATTTTATTTACCTCCCCCATCCTTCATCCCAAAAGCCTTCTCGTTATTCCGATCAAAGTCTTTAAGTTTCATCTAATTAGACAATGTTTTGTCCTAGGACAATTTTTTGCTGTAACGTGTCACCGCTGACCAAAGTAATATATTTTCTTTGCAGGCGATGATGGTGATGGCTTTGTGACTGTCAAGAATTTTGTTAAATTATATTATTTATGCTATCGTGGACTTAAGCAGATGGTGTTGGATGGGAAGACTTTTTTCTTTTACACTTGTGCCTTTTATATTACTTTTAATAATCTTTATTTATATCAATTTTGGATGCCCTTTATGAATTATGGGACCTGTTGTTTGAATCGAGTCATTGAGCATTTGTTTCAAATTTTGCAACTGGGGTTGTGGTTATTGGAGCTTTGTTTTGTTTAGTGATGCTTTGTTTCTCTCAAATGGTTTAAATGGAGGGTGGTTTTTTGTTCTTTTGATGCAAGATGGTCCTGTTTCTATTTAGTGATGCTTTGTTTCTCTCAAATGGTTTAAATGGAGGGTGGTTTTTTGTTCTTTTGATGCAAGATGGTCCTGTTTCTATTTTCGTTTTGTTTTGAAAACAGAACACACGCATTAATAACTTAATGTTGAAGTTGAACTTGATTACTTTTTCAAAGAGAACATAACATAAGGCAGGAGCAAAGAGCTATAAGTAACAAATATACTACTACTAGTCTTTACAACCTGGGGGCTGCATGGGGAAAATTTTGTTTTAAATGATACACTAATTAACACATTAACAAATATACTAATTGTCATTTGATTTTTCTCTACATTGTTTTATTGTACCTGCAAATTAATGCTCAAAGCAAAATCTCAGTTTGAATCTAACACTTAAGACCAAAGATCTCAATTATAGCCCTCATGATCGGAACTGAGTTTATATATGTCACATAACCTTATAAGTTTGTTGAATAATTAATGTATTTGATATATAATAATGATCAAATATTTCATTTATTTAATGAATTTAAAAAAAGTTCATTTATTTAATGAGTCTAACAGTGACAAGGGTGTAACACTTTTTATCATGCTCTTGCAACTCGGTTTTAGCAAACGTGATGCTATACCAAACCGATATAAAGGGTAGCTTTTTATGCTGCCATGACTTTTTACCATGCTCTTTTATTTTCTGAAGTCTTCTAAAATTGAACTTCTCAATTGAGTTTGAAGCTCTCACCAGAAGGTTTTTATTTTATTTTTATTTTTATAAAAACTAAGTGAAAAATATGAAAGGTAAAATGCTGGATTCTTATGAAAGGAGGCAGTCTTCCTACCACTCCCAAAGGTGTAACCGACACCTTCAAAGAAGTTTTCGTCCTTGCTATAAATTATTGAAATTTGAAATAGTTTTGATAAATTCCAAAATTTTCATGCAGTTATTGAATATTTTGTAAAAATTTTCGTTTGAATGTAGAATTAACGGATTTATTTGTAAAATTACCGATAAAAATTTGATGTTTTGTGAAAAAATTATGAATAATTTTGAAAATTTTGAAAAGAAGTTATCATATATTTGAAAAAAATCGGAAAAAAAAAATTAAACTTACAGGATTTTTTGAAAAATCTAGTATGCACTAAAATATTTGGAAATTTATAAAGTCCAGTAGTCAGTATTGAAATTTTTGAAAAACATTTTTAATCAATAATGGTTTCATCATCTTTCATCTGCAAATTTTTATATTGCTTTCTTAAATATTGCGACCTCATTTTCTTTAATTTTTCATCTCCACCATATAGCTTCTTAAGAGTATCCCAAATCTTCTTGGTCGTTCCTTGCTCAATAATTTTTTTAAAAATGTTTGAATTCACACACGGATGGATCAAGAACAAGTCTTTCCCATGCTTCTTACTCAATTCACGATGATAAACTCTTTGTGCTTCAATAGCATTTGACTCTCATACAAAGAAACCATCATTCATGATTTCAAATATATCTTAAAACTCGAATATGTTTTTCATCTGTGCACATCATGTATCATATTTTTCTCCCTTGAAAAATAGTAGATTGGTTGAAAATTGATTGGAGGTTGTGTTTATACTCACTATGGTTGGAGGTTGAGAACCGAGCCGGTGCTCTCGGTATCAATTTATATGTTTTTTTTATCTGCGCACATCATCTATCATATTTTCTCCCTTGAAAATAGATAGATTGGCTGAGAATTGATTGAAGGTTGTGTTTTCATTCACTATGGTTGAAAGTTGAAAACCGAACCAGTGCTCTCAATACCAATTTATTGGATCACCTGAATTACAAATTACTTGACAAATAATAATAATATGAGAAAAAATTTAGAAAATAATAGAGAAAAACAATTTATTAATTGTCTCGTTTTTTCAATTACAATAAATGATGGTATTTATAAAAACACCAGTCACCTAAATCAAATTTAAATCAAACTATCTAAAAAATAGTCTTATATATCCACCCAAATACATTCTTAAAATAATATACTTGTCCAAATATCTCTTTAAATAATCTGTATAACTAAATCTGATATATCCTTAAAACAAACTGAATGAACCATAATAGAAACTTATTAATCTCAACCATCTTATTTCAATATAAATTAATTACTATTCTTTTCATTCTAATATTTATATTTATGACCATATGTTTGTTCATATTATTTCTATTTATCTTATAAAATCATTTATAAAATTTATATTTAAATGTTATCCCGTGCAATTATTACTTTTCAACACAGCTAGGAGGAAAAAAAGGAAAAAGAAACAAATGGCCTCGTGTCACATAAGATTCCACCCTCACACTCTTGTTTCTAGAAACTTCACTCCAAAACTCAAACTGAACCGTAACCGATTTCTCTTCACACCTTCACACGCTTCTTCTTCCACCGTAACTGCCATGGCTTCAAATGCTCGCAAAGTCTTGGTTCCGATCGCTGACGGCACCGAGCCTATGGAAGCCATCATCACCATCGACGTCATCCGTCGATCTGGAGCTGAAGTCACCGTCGCGTCAGCCGCAAACAGTCTCTCCGTTAAAGCTCTCCATGGTGTTAAGATAATCGCTGACGCGTCTGTTTCAGATGTCGCCAACACTTCTTTCGACCTTGTCGCTCTCCCTGTATAGATTTCTCTATCTATCATTGATATCGTTTCTTTGCATCTTTAATTATTTAGCAATCGTGTTTATAAATTATAATCTCGTTTATTCTGTTAATTATCAAATTAAGCTCGTTTTCGGATTCAGTGTTTGATTTTAAGTGATTTGTTATCACTCATCCTTGGAGTATCTTAAATTGATTGAGTGGTTAAGTTTCTGTGAATTTATTTTATTTTATTAATAGTTACTAAAATATGTCATTTTTCACTCACTATAGGGAGATAACACGTTCATAAATATATATATTTTTTTGTTTCTATATTTTCAGTTTTCACTATTTTCTGTTTAAATATTAGTTAGAAAGAATTCACAAAATGTAGCTTGGATTGAAGAGGTGTTTAGTGTAAACAAGTAGTTACATTCAATTATTTCAATTTTGTTAAATTATTATCGGTGTATGTGTCAGTCTAGCAACTTTTTGTAGTATGGTTTTTTATTTATGTTGAATTGTTTGGGGAATTTGTGTGTAGGGAGGGGTTCCGGGGGTGGACAATCTCAGAGATTCTGCAGTGTTAGAAGAGCTTGTAAAGAAGCATGTTGAGGATGGAAAGCTTTATGCTGCGGTGTGTGCTGCTCCTGCAGTGATACTTGGACCATGGGGTTTACTGAAAGGATTGAAGGTAAAGTTAACTTACATGTGTTTATTCTCTTTTCACAATGTACTTTTGTGTAGCTGGCAATGATGATGGGTGTGTGTGTGGCTCTATGGTTTTTGGGCAGGCAACTTGTCATCCTTCGTTCATGGAAAAATTGGCATCTTATACCACTTCTGTTGAGTCAAGGGTACAACTGGATGGCAAGGTTGTGACCAGCCGTGCACCTGGTACTACCATGGAGTTTGCTGTGGCAATAGTTGAGCAATTATTTGGAAAGGAGAAAGCGGATGAAGTTGCAGGTCCATTGGTAAGGAGTAAGGACTTCATTTATCATGATTCTACTTGTTTTTTAGGAGCATAGAAATGTGAGTTATAGGTGTGGTTGAATAGCTTGGTTTGGAGAAATAATTGTTTGGAAAAATATATTTCTTTAGCAATAGTACCAATCAAGCTGGCATTATGGTACCCTGGCGTTTATACATGAATGAAGCTATGCTTAATACACTGCTTAAAAAGCTTCAAATTTTTTGCATTGCATCTTCATGCTCCATAGTGTAGTCTAATAATTGAGACATTATTTGTTTAAAAGGAGATATGTGGTGTCCACCTTTACACCATCATTAGTAATTGTGTCACCCCTCCCCTCTTTATTTTCTTTTTGGAACCTAATGAAAAAAAAGAAATTTCATTTTAGTTCATACTTCTTACAGTTGAGTGATTGAGCTTATT